AAGGTGACGGACTGGTTGCGATGGAGTTTGGGTGGTGGTTATGGCTGGTTTCCGTTTTGGAGTAGTAGGGTTTTCTGTTTGTTCTTCTCTTTGAAGAAGATCCACAGTGCTCGTTTTTTTTCCACAGTAGGGTTTTCCTTCCTTCTTTTGAAGTAAGATGATGAATAGTGCTTCCTCCAAAATTTTCAAAGTCCCCCCTTCAAACAAAATTCTGTCCGTGTATAATGTAGCCTTTGCCAAGGAATGGACCCCACGTGTGTAGGGGTCCAAGGTTTGTGTCCCCCATGCGCGGTGGAGTTACCCGTGTACGGTGTTCCGTCCGTGTTCCCCACGCGTGTCCCCCATATGCGGTGGACTCGGATTATTATGGGCTAGGTCCGAAAATTAGGCCTAAATCGAGTAGTTTGAACCCGAATATTATTCTTTTGCCCGGACCAGAAAATAAGAACACGACGTTGTTCGACTAATCCTATGTAAGCAAAATAACTACCAAAAATAAGACTAAAATTTAAAACAAAACTATATCTTTTTTAATATTTTTTCGAGATTAAAATAGCTACAAAATATTAATAAAACTATTTTTTTTTAATTTTTGTTTTTATATAAAGATAAAATATAAAGTAATATTTTTTGTATTTTTTTCAAAATTAAAATAACTACAAAACATTAATAGAACTATATTTTTTGGTAATTTTCGAAATTATATAAAGTACAAAATAAGGTACTATTTTTTGTATTTTTCAAGTTTATGAGAAATACATAAACTAAATATTTATATATATATTTTTGTAATTTTTCTTTTTTGCAATGAAATAAAGCAAAAATAGTCAAAATAGGTATATTAGACCTAAATTACATATTTATGCTAAAAATGTGAAAATTCTCGGGGAGGGTCAAAAATCACGTGTCTACACCGATCCAGCATAATATGCTGGAGTTCATACACAGGTGCACCGAACTCCAGTATATTATGATGGACCGGTCTCTGTTAAAGCAAAATAGTGACTATTTTTTATTGACTTCGTAAACGCTGGCTATTTTTGAATGACCAGTCCGAAAACTGGCTATAGCATGCTATTTTTACAATCAAACCGGCTATGTGTTTCTAAAAAATTTATAGTCAAAATAAGGTATGCATTAAAGGAAATGTGGCACCACCTTCAATTCCTAGATTACACATTTGGAGTAATAAAATCCCAGTACTGCGACTTCTATGCTGGTTCCATGATGGCATTTCATAAAGAAGATTGTGATCCAATAATTAGAACTTAAAAAAAATCCTGATTAGACCTTAATTACCATATTATGAATTATTTGAAACACTACAAACATTTTTTTTTGGGATTCGTCTCTAATAATAATGGATCGAAGTCCTCCTTTTCCTTCCAATTAGTGAGAGACTACAAGCCCTCCCTTCATTACTCGGAATTGAGCGGGCAACAAGAATTAGAATCAAATCTTCCCATGTAGTCGGTATTCTAGAAGCAAAATTTCCCGATCACCTGCCTCCTTGTGTGAAAATGCTTTTCATGATCTCCAGCTCTTTCCCATGTTCTTTTCCAAGCATTTAGGCAAACCTGTCAGGTTTGTTAACTCAACGTAAAGAAAGCTTATCAGATCAAAACTAGGGGAGCGCTTACTGATAATGAAAGATTAACATCTCTCTGCCTTCGTCAGTCAGCTAGAGTATAAAAACAACATTGAATAACATTACTTGTTTTTCATTTTTAGGGTACATCAACTTCATCAATGACACCATCAGAAATACAAACAAAAGAAGGTAAAAATAAAAAGTTGAAGAAGCAACGATTACTCAAATGCAAATACGTTTTGACATACATTCTGACGTAAAACATTTTAATTACGTAAGCACAAGTTACAAAGGAAGTTGCTGAGAGCAGGTCTTACAACTCTTTTTAAGTAACACACTCTTCTCCTAGCAATCTACATCTGGAAATAAAACTAAGTACGCCGCTTCCTATCATCATCTTCCTCTTCATCAGAATCACCACTCTCACGGAAACGTGGATTCTTCTCCTGCAGCAAAAGAAAATGTCACATTGCAACAACAAATTTCACTAAAACCGAAGACGGGACAAAACTTAGACATAAAAGATTTGAAGCTCAAGCTCTTATTCGTTGAATCACAAGCTAAAATCAGGGAACCTCTTTCTTTGATATCGATACAAACTTTGTTTCATTGTCCAATTATTATTTCAATTTAAATGGTGGCGAGCACAGACTACATATGAAAAGATGGAACAGAACATGCTGGTGAAAAAGACCAAAGCAATAAAAGATGTAGCTTAGGTATAAAAGAGAATACCGGTCTAGATTCATGATTAGAGATTCTTCGAGATTCACGGTCATAACTCCTCTTTGGATAATCTGACCGATGGTGGTCATCTTCCCTGTGTCGCTTGCGATGATAGTCTGTTTTCCTCATAAGATAGAGTTGTTTGTTAGATCTATTATACTGAAACAGTAGACAGAAAAATACAATGTTGTAGAGCATTAGAACTGAATCAAAAGCTTTGAAAAACATACCTCTACCTTGCCGATAAGAACCTCCATGACCATGATTTCCACCACGTCTATAGGTCTATAGACACAGTAAAAGGTCTATAGGTGTAACTCTTTTTATTAACATATCGCATTGCAAAACCTAAGGCATAACCAAGTTTGAGCATGGCAGATAAATTTTGATGATGAGAAGTTATTGGAAGTGCAAGAAAAACTCAGTGAAGGTCCAGTGAATCAGCTATTTGAAGCTTAATTTGAAATCCTAAAGGGGTTGTTTCAATCTCTTCCTTTCCTTTTTCCTTATTAGAGAAATCTCAAGTTTTTCCTTGTTAAATCTGATTTTCAACAGATTAATGAAGCATAGCATTAATTTGGAAAAAGAACAGTTTAATTATGGGGAAGAATATGGCTAGCTCTAAATTTAGAACTGGAACAAAACCAAAATCGTTAACATCCAGAAGTTGCCATTCAACCTGCGCTCAAACTTATAAAATTCTTCTAGTCTGTCTGATTTCATTTACAATGGAGCATTCAGAATGCAGACATTATGCTTACAGCATTAGTTGATATCAAAACCACCAATCCTCTGACAGCTTAGTTATAATCCATTAAATAAAAGGCACATATATTCAAACTAGTGAGTGTCATGCAACAAATAGACAGGGTCTGGAATCGACATTGACACACGCAGTTAATAACAACTCACAAGAACTTCACCACCGAACCAATAATTAATATACACTAGCTTTACTTATAGGGGTCAGTTGTACCCCCAGCTAAAATCAGAAGTTTTCTACTGCATCAAAGCACACACAAGTCCTGGAGTAGTAAAATCTAAATCCACAGTTAAGAGGCGCTTTAAGTTGACTCTTCAATCAAAGGCACAGCCAGTTCCTTTTTGAAAAGGAAAAAAAAAGAGGATGAAAAATAATTGCACTCTTTACATTTTACATTTCACATTCCACATATTACCAAATTAATTTGAGAGGATGAAGCTCTTTGCTAAGACGCAAGAAATAGTCAATATTATCAAAGAAACTACTGATGTCGAAGTTAAGAGCCCTTAAACTTACATGGAGGTGGAGGCATAACTGGTGGGTAAGCGCCCAATGATCCTGTACCATAATCCACAAGCTGCCTTTGTGCTTCCAATTCCTTTTGGACCAATTTTCCATAACCACCTCGACGTATAACTAGTTAAGGTATAAAAAGACAGTCCAAAATTCTTAAATATAAATGGAGAAAGAATAATTTCTCAAACCCTGTTGCATGGACTATCATGCAAGAGTTTCAACCATTTGACAGATAAGGTGATGAAAACTTACTTGATTGATTAACCATAAAGTATAGCATTTCTGTGCACATTCATGGATTACACCATTAGTCTTTATTTGAACTAAACCATAATTCTTCAAATGCATACATTAGAAACCCATGCAAACAATATCAACCATCTTTCCTATCCTTGATAAACATATCTATGATCCAATATTCACCTCCACAAAAGGATGGACACTTGCACTAAAAAGTGTACTGCTACTTCGCATCATAGAAGTTCTGATTCCTCATAAACAATTCATGACAAAAGATTTAAATGAAGATCTACTTTGAGGTATTTCCTTGTAACATAAATAACAAAGAAAACCATTGCCTTGTTTAAAACTTTGCAATCATTCCATTGGCCACAAAATGAAATTTTCACGTCATCAAGTTGATTGTCCTACAACCACAGGGGATGTAGAAAATTGAAGCTTTTGAGACCACTAGGTTCATTCACTCAAAGCAAAACACAATAAAAGAAAAATCAAGGTCACTAATTCCTTCAGAAAGAATGCTCTAGAATCTTATGATCACAAGAGGTTAAAAGCTTTTTTTAATGCACTATCTTATCTACTAACTAGATGCTGAGGGTTGTGGTTCTTGTAGATGGTGACATAGAACCTAAAAAGACAACTAGATGCTGATGCACCAGCCTTTTAATGCCCCACAACTACTTCTAGGGTAAGTGCTTACTGAACAAATACTATAGAAATACTTCCTAACAAGCACTTGAGTAACTTATGATGTTGCATCAAGAAAGAATAACTGAAACTCAAGCATTATTGTGTATGGAGGAATAATTTACGCAATTACAAATATTACATTGTCAAGTACCACTTTAGTTAACTTGCCATATAGACAAGTTACACACATATCTACATAAAATGTTTCTTAATAAGTATATACATAATATTAGAACGTGTAAGAAATTAAACTATATCCTTTTTCTCAATTTACTTACACCATACTGGCATAAATCTTTCAAGATGAAAGCATACCAAGTTTGAACAGATTCCTTTTTTTCAATCAAAATGTACCAAGTTTTAGCAGATTTTACACACTTGCCTACTTTTTTGTTGACAATGGTAGAGAGCATTTGCAGAAACTTCACTACTTAAAAGTACTTAGTTAGACATTCTTCTGCATACATGAAGTATCTTTGACTAACTTTGTCCTAATAGTTCCATACCCTTTTTATTTGCAATGTTCATCAAATTTGCCCATTATAAGACCAAAACAATTTTTCCCGAGAAAAAGATAGCTAAAAGAATTGAAAGAAACTGTAACGCATTCTTATCAATCAAAGAGAAGGATATCTGGATCATAGTCGGTACGATATTCGTCGCGCACCTGGGAAATAAAGATGTAAATCAGATGATATGCTGGCATAAATCTCAAGATAAAAGAATAACCACTGAGGAGATTACCTATCCACCACTCCTACCGCGGCCCCATTGTCTACCTTCTTGAAATCCCCAATCAAAATCCACACGAATCGGGCGATCATCAAGAATTGTCCCACTGATGTATTTGACAGAATCTTCAGTGTCGTCCCTAGAGTAGAACCTGAAAAAAGTTTCACAGTTGTTACAAATGCAAATGATATTCTCCATTCCTTCTTTATTTTCCTTCTTCCGCTTTTTCCCGTTGAACGGGAAAAGGGTTGAATGGGAGATAAACGCAAAAGTATACATGTAACAAACTATAAAGTACACCTAACACCATCTTGGTGTTTATAATAGAATTGACTTCAGCTGTCAAAAAAAATTATGAGCAAATAGGTGTTTGCATATAACTGCAAAAACAGTGACAGCACTAAAGAGATAAAAGCTCGTCATACACTCCTTCCATTCCATTTCCATTGATCTGCTATTTGTGTACACATCCCAAAGGTACATGTCTTTCCTAATGGCAATTTTTTCCCCGGCATACATATATACTACTTATTCATTTGACCTCATTTCAACAATTCATCTCCTTTTTGCAGTTCAAAATATTATTTGAACTCCTTGCCATCAAACCTAATATATTCATTCAAACATAAGCTTAGTCAGTGTCAACCCAAGTCAATTAAAATGGCAGAAAGGGAGTACATCAATACGAATTCTACTAGCAAAAGCAACGCAGACCTAAAAGTGGCAAAAGTTTGACATGCTTGGAACAGGTCAACAAGACAGAGAATGCAAGAAACATATATTACTTCCCAAATACAAATCCGATGACCACCCACTACCTACCACACAGGAATCCCAAAGAAATAAAACCTAAACAAACACCACAACCTATAAAAAGTTTTCTTGAAACATTGGTAAAAATGTTCGACAAGTAATCAAAGAACCATACAGTAGCTTCTGGGCAAATGGTGTGGCAGGAAATTGCAAATACATAAATAGTACATAGCGCTTTTAAAGCAAGAACTGGGATCTATTTTTTACGTTGAGAAACATTAATTGGTCGATTCACTATTGTAAGGAATCTATTTTATCTTTCTCTGAATTTCAGACTAGAGACTCTCTTTCCTCATTAATGAACTTGTCTTCCATCATTAAGAAGGCAACCAATGAGCGACAACTGAGTGGAACAAGAGATAACATCAAAGACGGCACAGCCAAACTACTCCAATTTTTTGTTGCGACCTGTTAGACTAGGACAAAGATAAACCAACCCTCGATTTGAAAAAAGGGACAAAAAGGATTAAGACAAAAATAGGAGGGAAATTTTCTTTTTCTTTTCTACCAAGTAGGAGGGAGATTTCCTTTTCAGTTAAAGTAGAGGAAACATGGAGAACTGACACCCCATTTAACTAAACGTTTTTTGTAATATAATAAGGACCTTCAAGATTAAGAACAAAATAACTACACATCAGGCTATTAGTGTCGAATAACAGTTGCACCTTCCATTTTCTCCAATAGATGCAGAAGTAATACTAGTAAATGCTCCCCTTCCTCTCCTCTCCTCTCCTCTCTCTATTCTTTTCTCCTGCATATACCTTCCGTTTCTAGTAGGAGTCTTTAAAACCAAAAAATCCATAACAAAGTTTAACATTGATCATTATGTGAGAATTATATAGATAATTGCAATAGGGTTGAATCCATGAAAGAAGTGGAAGTGCTTTCAAATTTTGGAAGTCCCTGCTTTTTCCTACCTAGACTTCGGGGACATTTTGACAGAATTAGATCAAACGATTGTGGTATAAGCCTCTTTACAAATCTTTCCAATACTTCTTAAGTTAATAAGTTCCTTGTATTAATAGTCGGGACTGTAAAACGTGTCATCTAATTCTTAAGACACAGCGAAAAAGAGTTGATTGATACTTGTAGGAGTAGAGACGGAGAACATGATTCTTATATTTACCGGGCAGCATGAACAAATGCCAAATACATAATATCAATATCCTTATTGAACAAGTAGACAAAAACAGAACTAGAGGGAAATAATTAAAGCTGCAGCAGGCATACCGTAATTGGAGAAGAAACTATACAGTCAAAAGTTAGCGACACAAAATGAAAGAAATTGGAGATTGAAAGCAAAGTTCAGGCCATACATTACAAAGCAGAACCCACAAGGAGTTTTGGAATTCTTATCCAATCCCATCACTATCTTTTTAATCTCTCCAGCACGAGAGAACAACTCATACACTTGTTCCTCTGTTGTGTAGAAGGACATGTTCCCCGCATAAACAGTAGTCGACTTCAGCAAAGCATCTTCAAATTCTTCCTGGGTTCCTGAAAACCTTCTATCCCTATATGCTGAAATCTTGGCTAAATCCTAAAAGAAAAAAAAAAGATAAAATATTAAAAGATAAAAGCAAATAAAACCTAGATTAAGAAAGGTAGGACACCTCGGACACCACAATCTCTTTATGTTAAAAATTCATGAAATGCCATCGGATATGCAGGAAAATGCACTTCAGTGTTGTTAAAGGCTCTCTTAAAGCGCGCTTAAGCCCTGAAGCTCGGTGAAGCCCAGGTTGTGCTCACTTAATTGGCACTTTAGTGTAGGCGTCAAGGTGTTAGGCATGTGCACCTTCACCAATGGGCTCTGTCTTTAAGGGAAGAACATTATATATATATAGCTCGATTATAGTTTTCCATTCTTTTGTCCAAATAATTATTATTTGTGTTTATAGTTGCATGTTTTTGCACTACATTTCTGTTTTTAATTTTTTTCCCCACACTTCAATTGCGCTTTGCACTTAAAACTCCAATAGACTTTGGAGCTTTTTACGCTTTTTGCTTTTGACTACTCTGCTGCACTTTGCTAACATTATACTAAATAAAGAAAGGCATAGATTAGGAACGACACTCAGTCCTCAAACAGCGGCACAAAAAACTCCGGACAGCCATTTCTTCGGAACCTTTCAGGTTTCCAAGGGCAGTAGCTGTCAGGCATCATCGTCGGGACAATAGGAAGAAAACAGAGGCGCCAACTTCGGTTTTTCACAGGATCAGGAATATACCAAGACAAAAGCCCAGGTTGTATTTGCAGGAATTGGTACCTCCCGCCTCCTATTTCTCTCCTTCTTGTGTTTGTTGATTTGTTGCGGTAGTAGTACGTAATTACTATAGTCATTTTGGTAGTGGACCTATATTCCTATTTTTTCATAGACTTCGGTAGGTATAGCGGTTGTGGTCTGTAATGGCAGTGTAGGGTCATGTCCTCGGGGAGGGAGGGTGGCGAGGTGGGTTAAG